AGAGAGAGAGAGAGAGAGAGAGAGAGAGAGAGAGAGAGAGAGAGAGAGAGAACACACACACACAAACAAACACGCACGCGCGCACGCAGGCACACATGTATATATTGTATAGATCATATAATATTAGGGGCCACTATCAAATCTCCGTTATACCGTATGCCCATTGCAGATTGCAGGTGGGATCGGGTCGGGTTGGGTCGCTCGCCCGACTCGTCGCCTAATAAGTATTGATAACAAACGTGTTTGTTTTTGAGGTGACGAGTCGGGTGATCGGTTTGTGCCACAATAGCCGCTTTGCTCCCTCAATCTGGCAAGCAAACCGACCCGACACGACCCGATCGTGCCAAAGGACACCCCGTATTAATGGAAATCTATCCACGATGTAAACGTGTCATGTCATATCCTCTCCCCCCCCCCTCCTCCCCACCCGCTTGATAATTTCCTCTGATACACCCTGTCGACTGCAAGAAGATTAGAAATAGAATTAATGTCCTTGGTCTAGCGTCTTAGCCCGTGCGTCCTCCAAAAACAGAATCCGCCCATCCAAAATTCACCAGTTTCTCGGTCAGTAATATGCAGTAGAAACAGGACCAGTTTTTACTGTAGCAGTGAGAATTCTGTTTGCATGAGTCCATCAAAACGACACGATTCCTCCCTACAAAAGAAGGCCAGGATCGGTTGGAATGCTGCATAGAGCATTTTTTCGTAGCCTGCAAAGACATGAGATGAGAAGATTATATGGAGCCATTTGTTTTTTTTTACCCTGTTTTAACCGCGGGCAGACGAAAGAGAGATATGTAGTATTCTATATAAAATGAATTTGTGAGAAAAAGATTTTTAAAATTTAGCCTCAATGATTGTTGTTGAAAAATATGATTAAGTGAAGAAAAATTGATACAAACTGCTGTGCAAAGTATGGGTAACATAGATAGACCCTTTAAAAAGAAGATACAAGATAAGTTGCACCAGTAATTTTTGACAGCACTAAATAGAATATAATTTAATTACCTTTCTTGGGGGGGGGGGGGGGGGTATGCCAATTAGTGACTATTTTCATTAGTGCACAGATTGAATGAACAAGCATTTCCCTGCGGCACCTCGAAAATTGATTGAAAATGTTGGCCAATACAAACGAAAAAATATGTTGCATTATATGTGGTATTATATTCTTGTAACAGGTAGGCTAAGTGTGTATAATACATGTATATATGTTATACAGTGCACTTATGTATGATGCCGATTAAATGTGCTCTTTCAACACTGTAAGGTTAATCAGAAGAGCGATCCTATCGTTAAAACAGAGCCAATACAACACAGGTTCGTTTCAAAGCCATTCCTGACTACGGTAAAGTCTGAAACACAGCGAAAGGAGGTTAAAAAATCACCGGGTTTCTGAAATAATTACTACACCGCTTTACGAAACTGCGGAGGGCAATGGGGGGACGCTAACCGGAAGCGGAAGCTGTGGTAATAATATAAAACAAACAAATCAAACAAGCGGCGCGCAAGGCAGGACCGGCCATGCTTGCGTTCTGGAGTTTCGTGTTTTGTGTTTATGTTGCCTTTTTGTACTAGATTCTAGATATAGATCTTGTACTTGTCTAGATGCCAACTTTTGGTGGAGCTGGAGACGACAGGTCATGAAATAGCGTGGCCTTTTGATATAAGTCTTTATCAAGCCCCCTTCTTTGTCTGCAGGGCTGTTCAGTCAGACAGACTCAGCCTGCCTTCGATTCTCGACGTCCTGCCTGAGTCTCGACACACCGGCCGAACGATCATTTAAAATGGTATGATCTTTGTTTAATTAATGCTTACTTTACTTTATATACAATATAGATCTATATGTAATGGTCAGTCAAAGCTAAATTCTAGAATTAGGGCCATTCCTTGGGAAGTGATTCTTTGTCACTAATGATTACTAGCTCACCCGCCCGAAAGTTCTCGCAAGATCTACTCCTCCCCTCTTCTCTCTCTCTCTGTCTCTTTCTGAATACTGTCTATCGGTGTGGACGATCAAATTGACCAAAACAAAGTTAAAAATGATGTTAAAACACAAAAGTAAATTAATTTGGTTGTCTATAAAGATGCTACGG